AAGTGAAAATCTATAGGTATCTGGGAATCTTATTCCAGAGCAATTTAGGGTGGGCAAATCATCGCACAAATGCCATAAAACAGGCAAAGTGTACCTCATCAGCAGTTGCCCGTTTTTATTATCAGAAAGGTAATCAATTTATTCCTGCGGCCAATCAGATATTTCAAACAAAAGTGCAATCCCAGATATTCTATGGAATCCCGCTATGGGTCCAAGCATATAACAGTGATTTAAAAAAGATTCACTCCAGCTTTTTGAGACGTATTCTTGGACTCCCAGCTGTGATCAAATATGAAACAATGTGTGCAGAAATAGGCATACACACAATGGAATATTGGGCATGGTCCACCTCAATAAAGTACTGGTTACGCTGCCATTTTCGCTGCCCTCCATCAAGTCTGCTCGCTGATTTGCTCAAAGACTCCTATAAATCAAGATGGTATCAGTACCTCGAAAAAAAGATTGAATCTTTAGGCATCGAGCTGGAGCCCCTGTACAATTCTAATGAGCAATACATTTTCCATAATATCCTAACTAGACTAAAGGATGTCGAGAGACAAAATATTATGGCAGCTGTAAACAAAATTTGCTCCCCCATATTCTATGATTTAAATATCTTAGATAGCAGAGCCAATTACGTCACTAAATTAATAATCCCAGCCCAACGTAGGGCTTTTATGCTGGCCCGTTTGAATGTTTTTCCCTCAGCATTTGTCAGGGGAAGATATCAAACATTCCGGTGCTATATATGGCCCCTGTGGCTGCTCCCAATCACCAGTCCAGCTGCTGCATTCTGGATTAATTGTAGTTTCCGTGTCCCCTTCAAAGGTAGCCCCATGTAGAGTGCATTGCAGTAGTCCAAGCAGGAGATAACCAGAGCATGTACCACTCTGGCGAGACAGTTAAACATCCCGGCTCCCACCCAAACTGGCAAACCAGTTTGGACACACACACACACACACACAGGTTACCAGCCCCGTTTCAGGGCACAGAGAGCTCAGTACCAGGGATGAAGCCCAAAACTTCTGCCAGCCCTCAGTTGATTTATGGAATTTGCTCTGAGAAGACCTGCTGATGCCCACAAGCTTATATGGCTTTGGAAAGTGGGAGGGGAGGCGGTGATAGCTAGCTGTGACCTCTGGGTTCAGATACACTATAGAGTAGTACTTCGGGTTAAGAACCTAATTCGTTCTGGAGGTCTGTTCTTAACCTGAAACTGTTCTTAACCTGAGGTAACACTTTAGCTAATGGGGCCTCCCGCTGCCGCCAGCGGGCGATTTCTGTTCTCATCCTGAAGCTAAGTTCTTAACCTGAGGTAATATTTCTGGGTTAGCAGAGTCTGTAACCTGAAGCGTCTGTAACCCAAGGTACCACTGTACCTTTGAATGCCAGTTGGTGGGAGCAGAAATAGGAGACAAGTATTGCTTCAGGCCTGTGTGGGCTTCCTGGTGGCATCTGGTTGGCCATTGCAGGAAACTGAGTTCTGGCCTAAATGGATTTTTGCCTTCATCCATCTTGCTGGTCCAGATGTTTCGGTCTACTTCCTTTCTGCCAGCAGATGGAGACGGCACATTACTGTTTGGGGTTGTCATAATTTGTGGATTGGGAACTCGCCAGCTTTCAGAATCTCTCCCCATCGCACACCCCAGAAATTTGGGTGTGGTTTCCTCCGTTTTTGGAAGACAGGCTGAGCCAAGGCCAAAGGCATAGGAATAATTTCAGCCGCCATCTATAACAGAGGCATCGCGAAAGAATCAGATTAGGGAGTGAGGGCCTGAGTAGAATGAGCCAACATTATTTCGGTGAGGGTGGATGGGATTTGCATTCAAACATTTCCCTACACACAAAAATCCAGGCAACTTCCACAGCATCATCTTTCATTGGGGTCAAGACACAACTGAATAATAATAATAATAATAATAATAATAATAATAATAATAATAATATTCCCCAGCCACTCTGGGCGGCTTCCAACAAAGATGAAAGATACACTAAAATGTCACATATTAAAAACTTCCCTGAACAGGGCTGCCTTCAGATGTCTTCTGAATGTCAGGTATATGTTTATCGCTTTGACATCTGATGGGAGGGCGTTCCACAGGGCGGGTGCCACTACCAAGAAGGCCCTCTGCCTGGTTCCCTGTAACTTGGCCTCTCGCAGTGAGGGGACCGCCAGAAGGCCCTCGGCGCTGGACCTCAGTGTCCGGGCAGATGGGGGAGGAGACACTCCTTCAGATATACTGGACCAAGGCCGTTTAGGGCTTTAAAGGTCAGCACCAACACTTTGAATTGTGCTCGGAAACGTACTGGGAGCCAATGTAGGTCTTTCAAGACCGGTGTTATATGGTCTTGGCGGCCACTCCCAGTCACCAGTCTAGCTGCCGCATTCTGGATTAGTTGTAGTTTCCTGGTCACCTTCAAAGGTAGCCCCACGTAGAGCGCATTGCAGTAGTCCAAGCGGGAGATAACCAGAGCATGCACCACTCTGGCGAGACAGTCTGCGGGCAGATAGGAATGATTCTGTTGTAAAATTGGTGTGTGTGTGTGGGAGTGCTTCCACATAGATGTTCAGCGTTGAATCCGCAGGTTTGGTTCACTCGTGTTTAATGAGGTTTTCACGCAACACTGTCATCTAATCCTTGTCATTCACCATCTGCCCTGTGAGGAGAAATAAGAGGCTGAGTGAAGGAGGCACAGAGAACACCAGGCCTGCTCCAGCCAGACTGCTCCTGTCTCTCTTGGGCAGATGGTATCCATTGGGATACTTTGAGGAGGAGCAAGGATGTGCCAGAAGCAGACACCAATAAGGCCTGCTGTAGCAGGACTGTTCCCTCCCCCACAGCCAACTTTAAATGTTGTCTCATTTGTTTTAGTCCATAAAAATTGTAAATTGACTTGGATGCCTTAGGCAGAAAGGTGGTAAAGGTAAAGGGACCCCTGACCATTAGGTCCAGTCATGGCTGACTCTGGGGTTGCAGCGCTCATCTCACTTTATTGGCCGTGGGCGCCGGCGTACAGCTTCTGGGTCATGTGGCCAGCATGACTAAGCTGCCTCTGGCGAACCAGAGCAGCGCACAGAAACGGCGTTTACCTTCCCGCCAGAGTGGTACCTATTTATCTACTTGCACTTTGACATGCTTTCGAACTGCTAGGTTGGCAGGAGCAGGGACCGAGCAACGGGAGCTCACCCTGTCGCGGGGATTCAAACCGCCGACCTCTGATCGGCAACTCCTAGGCTCTTTGGGTGGGCACCCACAGTGCCACCCATGTCCCGAAAGGTTGTACATAAATACAATTTATTATTATTTATTAATTGTTATTATTTATTTCACTTGAGGAGCTTCTGTCGCTTCTCAGACTGCAAAAAGCAGTGCTTTAAAAAGAGAATGGAGGAATATCACTGTTTTCACAATGTAGATGCCTGTAGCACTACTTGTCAATCTTTTTGAAATAGTGGGGTTTAGACATGGGCAGAAACAGATCAGGAAGGGAATTTATCTCCTCTTAACACCCATTCATTATAACCCTTGTGGTGGGTACCATTTTATGACCCCATTTTTGTTTTGTTAAAGTCAATCTTTCAGTTATCACTCAAATGCTTTTCTAGTTAAAGAGAGGTGTGTAAGATCATAATGCTATGGAATTAATGTTGTGCAGCAGTATAGGATTAGAGCAGCATGTTGTTGTAGCGCTGGACATCTTTCTTCATTTTCTTTTAAAGCCAGAAAAATCCTACAGCTGTATTTAAAAATCAATTGCAAAATAAAAGCAGGGATATAAAATGGTTACAGTGGATGCATGCTGTACACCTACAGCAGCAATGGCATGTCCAGAACATTGCCGGACGTAGACATAAAAAAAATCACAGTATGCTTGAAAGTTTGTGCAATAGTAGTCTGAATGTTGTTGTGTTTGACCTGATATGTGAGCATGCATGAGTGTGTGTGCATGCACACATGCATGTAGATCAGGGTCAGCAAACTTTTTCAGCCGGGGGCCGGTCCACTGTCCCTCAGACCTTGTGGGGGGCCGGACTATATTTTGAAAAAAACATATGAATGAATTCCCATGCCCCACAAATAACCCAGAGATGCATTTTAAATAAAAGCACATATTCTACTCATGTAAAAACACCAGGCAGGCCCCACAAATAACCCAGAGATGCATTTTAAATAAAAGGACATATTCTACAAATGTAAAAACACGCTGATTCCCAGACCGTCCGCAGGCCGGATTTAGAAGGCGATTGGGCCGGATCCAGCTTCCGGGCCTTCGTTTGCCTACCCATGATGTAGATGAATTGGGGAGTCCACAACAGACCATTAATCCAGTTTTCGTTCACATGCAAAATTCCTCCTTCAAATAGCATCTCAAGCAAATGTTTCTGGGATGGAAAGGGGGGAATAAATTGGTAAACAGGCATCAAACCCTACTTTTAAATCAAACAGTGGGGTGTCCTGACACTTGCCTATAATTTAATGTTTACGAGTGCATCTGAAAGTGTGTCTTTGACAGGCAAGCAGGAGCGCATTAGGCCTAGAGTTGCTTTCTGTATCAGTCACCAGATGCTGGTTGAAGCCAAGTGAACGGTGTTGCCTTTCTCTAAGAAGCTAGCAGTGCCAGCAGAAATGAAAAAGAAAAGGTTACTACTTACTCTTTCCTTGAGGTTGTTATTTATTGGTCCACAAATCACAGACAACTTAAAACTGCTGAAGTTTCTCCTGCCCCAGCCATCCAGTGATTTTCAGGTGGTTATGTCATCATCATACACTACGCTAAGAAGCTGGATTTCTATAGGAAGCTCCTATCTTTAGGAAGAAATATCTGAATGCCCATCAAAATTGGATTCATTGCTTTCATGGAATCATCTTGTTCCCCTGGAATAACAGAACACAATGCACATTACACAGCGGTATACTTGGTAGAGTAAAAGCACGTGCTACAGTAATTCATCGGCACAGTTCTGTTTTTAATCTTTGCAATCGTTTATCGTTTTGCAGGTCACAGAGTTAGCAGGCTACACAGCTCGTGTGTACAACATGTTTTCAGTCTTCGATGAAGTGAAGAGGGGCATTTACAAAAGGACAGCTGTTTCTCAAGAATGTGAAAGCAACAATAAGAAAAGAGATAAAACAGAGCAACATATCGACGGCCCATTGGAAATCAAGGGTAATGAATGATGCATATTTAATTTTTTTTAAAAGATTCCTCTTTAAAAGCTTGCAATTTGAAATTGAAACCCTGGGCCAGCTATTTAAACAAAACTATCCACTTAATTCGTTCCCTTTGCCTAGAATAATAGATCCTGGTACCTTCTGGTCCCAGCTATGCAATTTCCACATCCAACTCTTGACTTTTATAAACTGTTTTCTGTGAGATGCTAAAGGCCGTGCAAATAATAATAATAATAATAATAATAATAATAATAATAATAATAGCAACATGGTACCTGGTTCCTGTGGCTGCACCATTTCAGATGGAAGGTGGCATACCTGAATACTCCACCACTTCAAAATCCCCCTGCACATGGAAACATAGTATGTCAGGAAGATAATTCTAGTTTAGTATTCTGCATGAGAGAATGAAAAACATGGCAGTGCATTACGAACTTTCACTTTTCCACCTTGGTGCAATCCCAGGAATTGTATCAGTAAATTTGCATGAAGGTCTTCTGCTAATGGAATTCCAATATTTTCATTCAGCTCTCCCTTATTCTGCTTTCCTCTTCATGCCTCTTACTTCTCATGGGACGCCATGCTGCTTGCCCTCCAGTAGCCCTCTCTAAAGAAATTTTTGTAACTCTTCATCTAATACTTATTTTATTTCCTGGCTTATCCAGAAAGCTTCCCTCCCCATTATCTCCCTTCTCTTTAACAAACCTTAGTAAATACTCTTTCCTTGTTCATTGCTTCCAATGCATACTCTTCCCCCCCACAGCTGATTTCTGACCGCCCCTCATTCTGTCTATTAACATGTATATTATTTTGGGGGTCATCTTGCTTGCAGGATTGTTAAATGATGGCTTTTAAGGTGCTGCCTTAAATATGTATTGAATTCCACAGCATGCTAGCATGTTGTGAAATAGGGTAGGACTGGAGGACTTACTCAAAGTAAGAGAACTTGTTGTTGTTTAGACTTTTAGTCGTGTCCGACTCTTCGTGACCCCATGGACCAGAGGCACTCTGTCTTCCACTGCCTCCCGCAGTTTGGTCAACCTCATGCTGGTAGCTTCGAGAACACTGTCCAGCCATCTTGTCCTCTGTTATCCCCTTCTCCTTGTGCCCTCCATTTTTCCCAACATCAGGGTCTTTTCCAGGGAGTCTTCTCTTCTTATGAGGTGGCCAAAGTATTGGAGCCTCAGCTTCAGGATCTGTCCTTCCAGTGAGCACTCAGGGCTGATTTCCTTCAGAATGGATAGGTTTGATCTTCTTGCAGTCCATGGGACTCTCAAGAGTCTCCTCCAGCACCATAATTCAAAAGCATCAATTCTTCGGCGATCAGCCTTCTTTATGGTCCAGCTCTCACTTCCATACATCACTACTGGGAAAACCACAGCTTTAACTATACGGACCTTTGTTGGCAAGGTGATGTCTCTGCGTTTTAAAATGCTGTCTAGGTTTGTCATCACTTTTCTTCCAAGAAGCAGGCGTCTTTTAATTTCATGACTGCTGTCACCATCTGCAATGATCATGGAGCCCAAGAAAGTAAAATCTCTCACTGCCTTCATTTCTTCCCCTTCTATTTGCCAGGAGGTGATGGGACCAGTGGCCATGATCTTAGTTTTTTTGATGCTGAGCTTCAGACCATATTTTGCGCTCTCCTCTTTCACCCTCATTAAGTGGTTCTTTAAGAGAACTTACTGAAAAGTAATTTCTGGTTCTGCAGTGAGGTTTCAAATCGTGTGCACTTTTCTAAATTGTAACCACATTTTTTGGTTAAGTTTTGTGTTCTGAGGATAGTACTCCCAGCTCTCTTTCGAAGTCCATGAGTTGAAAATTACAACCTTTTCATGTAGGATGGAGACTGTAAAGGAGACAATCTCGACTTTAGATATTTCTAACTACTTCTCAGATAGGTATTTTACCCTATACCATTATGTCTCCTTCACTTCTCATGATCAAAAGTGTGTAATAAATCAGTTATATAGCCCACTACTGTATTTATTGTAATCTACAATTATAGTGGCATACAACAATGGGGGTTAGGGAAGGTCATTCTATAAATACATTGTCAAAAGTGTGGCTATAGTATGCTGCTACTGCTTTAGTCGTTCCCTGGTTACAAATCTGGATTATTTAAAAGCATATCTGAACTCTTGTTAATCTTCAGAGAAATGCTGCCAGACTTTATAATGAATCTATTGTTTATTTTACATTAGGAACAATAGTTGAATAGTTTTCAACTATTTGGAACAGTTTTAAGTCTTTGAGAAAAGGTATTTCATTCATTCAGTGATACATTCTTGCGATGAAGAAGGGTTTCAGTATTTAGGTTAGACATGTGGATTCATATAAGTTTTTTTAAAAAGTCAAATGGCTTCGCCTTTCTTATTACTTTCTGAACAGTTTCCGCTCATCTGTAGCGAAGCGTGCTTTGGATATCGAAATACGATGTTAAACCAGTGAATTCAGAAGCTAGAGGCTGGTTTCAGTGTAATGTTTAAGATCAGATTCACGGAAGCAGCTGTGATACTCCTGTTTAGCATTAGGTAAGGCAGTGCCCTTCACATCCAGCCAAAAGGAGACAGGCTAACCTTTCTGTGGCCCAACACACAACACCGTATTCCAGCTAATGGCTTGAAAGAGCGTTCCTGCTCCATCTGCTGGGACTTAAAAGAAATAACCATGCAGTGTGCTTTAATGCTGTTTAATCACCCCTAATACCATTCATTCTCCCTAATGCTAAGTGAAGGTGAAGCCAAGGAGTGCTTTGCAGACTTAGAAGATTCTGAAAGGAGAAGGGTGGGTTCAGAAGTTGTGCTGTAGCCTAGGGCTTGCTGATCAGAAGGTTGGCAGTTCGAATCCCCGCGACGGGGTGAGCTCCTGTTGCTCGGTCCCTGCTCCTGCCAACCTAGCAGTTCGAAAGCACATCAAAGTGCAAGTAGATAAATAGGTACCGCTCTGGCGGGAAGGTAAACGGCGTTTCCGTACCCTGCTCTGGTTCACCAGAAGCGGCTTAGTCATGTTGGCCACATGACCTGGAAGCTGTACGCCGGCTCCCTCGGTCAGTAAAGTGAGATGAGCGCCGCAACCCCAGAGTCGTTCGCGACTGGACTCTAACGGTCAGGGGTCCGTTGCATGAATAAGCCCTCCCAAGACTGACAGCTTTTTGTCTGTCTTCCTGTACACGTATGTGCTTCACTAACATGTTGTAATTTTTGTTTGTTTGTTTTACTTGTAGGAAGAGTAATAGATGTTGATCATGGAATTATCTGTGAAAACGTTCCTATCATTACCCCAAATGGCGATGTGGTGGCGTCAAGGCTAAACTTCAAAGTAAGACAATGTGCAAGAATCTTCCGACCATGGCCACCACAGTTAGCACAAATGCAGCATGCAGTTCATGTACCTTCTGTTAATGAATTGGACAAAGATATAGAAAAGAGGGGGAATCAAGCAAAGCAGACATAATAATAATAATAATAATAATAATAATAATAATAATAATAATAATAATAATTATTATTTATTATTTGTACCCCACCCATCTGGCTGGGTTTCTCCAGCCACTCTGGGCGGCTTCCATAGAAACCAAAGATACAATAAAATATCACAGATTAAAAACTTCCCTGAACAGGGCTAGGGCTGCCTTAAGATGTCTTCTGAATGTCAGGTAGTTATTTATCGCTTTGACATCTGATGGGAGGGCGTTCACATAGTGACTCAACGCTAGAAGCAGATGCTTACAGTTTCTCTGACTTTAGTAAACAGGGAAACAGGATTCCCCTTCTCATGCTGTGGCCCACACATTAAATCAATGTGCAGAGGAAAACAGGCATCTATTGGTCTTTGCCCCTGTCCATTGCAGAGATCATGAGAAAAGACTATACATGCATGTAAACTATTACACATCTAGGAACAGTACTTGTAGTAAGGAGCCCTTGCCATGTATACAGGCCCTGTGTAAGTACAGTCCTTTTTCTTGTTCCACCCAATGAGTGGATCATAGAAGTATATAGCCGGAAGGGACAGCAAGGGTCATCTAGTCCAACCCTCTGGAAAGCAAAAAAACTGTTGCCCAAGGTGGGGCTCAAACCCCTCACCCTGAGATTAAGAGTGCCGTGCTATACTGACTAGATAAATAAACCTTATTTGCATTAGCCAACGGCCGTAGCAACATAAAACAAGCAATATATACAATTAAAAAACAACAACGATGGATAAAAAGGACCATCAAATGACCAAGACCACCGGTCAAATAGTGGCCCTTAATCTCAATGCACCCTTGATAAAAAAACCTAGCAACCTTTGCTGTTGTCTGATCATTCTGATCTGACAACAGGAAGAACAATGTGGCCTCAGATGGGCGGCATGGGATGGTAAGTAGGAGTGAGGTGAAGATCTCATTCCTCAGGTCTTTATAAAGGGGACAGGACAGGAGAACATGAGCCACTGTTTCCAGATTGCCATCTCCACGGGGGCAGAGTCGCTTCTCAGTTGGAATCCTTCGGTATCTGCCCTCAAGTACGGCAGAGGGCATCACATCCAATCTGGCCAATGTGAAGGCAAGTCTGTATTTTGGGATGGTTAATTTATACAAATATGGTGCCAGGGAGTCAAACTGAGGGGGGGGGGCAGCGCTTCTTCATATTGGCCAGATTGTTCTGTTGCTCCAAGTCCTTCAGACGCTGTTCAATTAGTGATTTCAGCTATACTGACTAAACTATTGGGAATGGGGTGACTGGCACACAGGCCATTAGCTTAAGGACAGGGCCAGTTGCTCCAGTTCTGCCACCCTCAATGCATTGATTTAAATGTGTGGACTGGGATGTGCAAAGAGGGCTAGACAGTGAGGATGGCCTTTTTGCATTATCATGCCATTTCCAGGTTAATAATGACAGCTGGAACGCTCAGAGCACCTAAGAGCTACCCTTGGGTTCCATTGCTACCGTTAGATGTCCTTTCTTTGCTTCCTAAGTAGACAAGTAGTGCGGCTTCTTGCCTTAAAAACATTATCAAGTCAAGAAAAGAGTATTAAAGTTGAGTGAGTGCTCTACTGCTGAGAGAAGCTTGAGACTTCAGAATCCGTGATCCTGAGGGCCAGGAAGGTGGAAAGCATGCTTGATAGAAGGCTGGAAGTATTAACAGAACCTACTGGGTTTGGTTTTTGGATTTTGTTTTTAGTTACTGAAATGAATTTTAACTAGCTTGTGTATACTTCTTTAATCTATCCCATCCTTCTGGGCTGGTTGATAGCATACATTCCATACATATATTATTTCTCAGCACACTTAAAGCACACAGATTTCCCTAAAGAATCTGTGGGAGGATTGTTTGTGCCGGGAATTGTAGCTCTGTTGAGGGGTGAACTAGAGTTCCCAGGTTTCAGATGGGCGTGTGGGTGTGCCAGATGTGAATGTGACCCCTTCACTTAACTTTACAGTAAGAAGTTAGTTTTTCTTCGCTTTCATCCATTCATTATTATTATTAATTTACTATTATTAATTATTATTAATTTGTACCCTGCCCATCTAACTGAGTTCCCCCAGCCACTTTGGGCAGCAGCTTCCAACATATATAAAAATGTAATAAAACATTAAACATTTAAAAACTTCCCCATACAGGGCTGCCTTCAGATGTCTTCTAATGGTTGTATAGTTACTTATCTCCTTGACATCTGATGGGAGGGCGTTCCACAGGCTGGACACCACTACCTAGAAGGCAAGTGGCCAGATTCTACATAAGGCAAGGCGTCAGCCTCTACTTTACACAGTAATTGCAAAAAACAAAACACTCCCCCATATACTGTGGGAGATGAAATGTGTTCTGAAATTCTCAGTTCTCCAAAAGTGTTAATAGCAGGGGTCAGCAACCTTTTATAGCCGTGGGCCGGTCTACCGTCCCTCAGACCATGTGGTGGCCCGGACTATATTTTTTTTGGGGGGGGGAATGAACGAATTCCTATGCCCCACAAATAACCCAGAGATGCATTTTAAATAAAAGGACACATTCTACTCATGTAAAAACATGCTGATTCCTGGACTGTCCGCGGGCCGGATTGAGAAGGCGATTGGGCTGGATCTGGCCCCGGGCCTTAGGTTAGTGACCCCTGGTTAATAGCGTAGCGCATCTAAAGAGATTGGGCCCTGAGATTCACGACCTGTCTTTTTGCAGTCTGTAAACAAGGATTGTATATCAGTAAACTGATCCTGTTCCTTTTAAAAGTCGGTAGGAGCCTTCAGGATTTGAAGCACGGCTCATTTCCAGCCGAAGCTCTCCTTGAGTTTTAAGGAACTAAGCAAATGTGCAGGCTATGGAATTGCAAACTTCAGAGCAGAATCTAAAAAATAATAATTTAATTAGGACATGGTCAGTAGGGAGGGAATTTATCCTTGTGCTTCGGTGTTTTTGATACTATTTCCTGATCCTGACACATAAGTGCTTCAGCACAGATATGTACCCAAGAGTTTCTCTGGCTTTCCCATTCATTTTAATACATCATCTGCACGCATTAATTTCTGCGTGCTCCGTAGTTCCATCCGCTGAGATGAAGCCGGACCCACCTGAGCAGAGGACACCATAAATGGCAGAGTATCAGCAATGGAATTGGACTATGTGGTTTTCCAGATAGCCCATATTTTTCCCTCGAGGATCCTTTTAGGGGCTTCCTCCACAGTAAAGAATAGAAGCATATAACCTCTCTCCCTACATATGCATATATCCATGTGATATCATTGTTCCACGCTGCTTCCTCATGGGGTGGTGGGGGGGTGAGTCATATGTGATGATGATGATAATAATGATGATGGTGAATCCACTACTTCACCAAGTGGATAGCATTGCATGGCTTTATATGCAAATCAGCTGTTGGCCCATTGATGTGATAAACTTTTCCAGCCACATTAATTGGCTGAGAGCTGATCATGTAGATGCCGTGAGCCAGCAATACCGTATTTTTCGCTCTATAAGACGCACCCGACCATAAGACGCACCTAGTTTTTAGAGGAGGAAAACAAGAAAGCAACGCAAAGACAGGAGCGCTCCGGCTGCGTTCAAGAGGCTTTGCGTGGCTATCGCTGAAGCCAGAAGAGCAAGAGGGATCGGTGCGCACCCATTCCTCTTGCTCTTCTGGCTTCTGGGATAGCTGCGCAGCCTGCATTCGCTCCATAAGACGCACACACATTTCCCCTTACTTTTTAGGAGGGGAAAAGTGCGTCTTATAGAGCGAAAAATACGGTGCTTTTTACCTGGTGAATTAGTAGGTACATCTTTATTCCTAGAACTTTCAGTGCTAGGAAATACAGTGGTACCTCGGGTTACATATGCTTCAGGTTACACACTCTGCTAACCCAGAAATAGTGCTTCAGGTTAAGAACTTTGCTTCAGGATGAGAACAGAAATTGTGCTCTGGCGGCAGCAGGAGGCCCCATTAGCTAAAGTGGTGCTTCAGGTTAAGAACAGTTTCAGGTTAAGTACGGACCTCCGGAACGAATTAAGTACTTAACCTGAGGTACCACTGTAAACACCAGGAAATCTTTCACACTCCCCCCACAGAACATCTTAGTGGGGAAATCCCAGTAGGGAATGTGTGCTAATATTGCAACCATGTGGCCAGGACTGATCATGTGGGTCTTCCTCGCCTGATCAGCACTTCCCTAGGAATCATAGATTTGTGGAATTGCAGAGTTGGAAGGGACGATGGGGATCAGCCAGATCAACTCCTTACAATACAGGAATCTTTCAGCCAATGTGGGGCTCAAACCCACAACCTTGAGATTAAGAGTCTCCTGCTCTACCGACTGTGCTATTCCTCATTTGGCAGTAGGGGAATATATATCAGGTGGGAATAACCCAAGCAATTGGCAGTACCACACAATGATAATGTTTTACACACAATGGTATGAGATGGTGGCATAGGGTATCAGTTCCCGCTTCTCTCTGTGTGTGTGTAATTAGTTTTTGGGGGGAGAAGGGGGTGTCTCATACTTTATTAGCACTATAACATTTATGATTGTTGTAACTATACACGGTCTCTTTAAAAAGAGACACTTTCTAAGTGCAGAAGGGGTAAAAATTCTGGCGAAAAAATTCCATATTTATATATAGCTTTACTTCCTCCGCTCTGATATTCATTTAGATCTAAATATCATCATATGCATTTTCACTAACGACAAATTGCTGACATAGAATGAGATCCTAGATTTCCCATATTAATCTCAGTGCATAAAGACCGCAAAACTCAACACATTGTGGAAAGCAAATGTTACGATTTTGACCTTAGTGTGGTCAAGTCACCCAAGGGAAGGTTTTGTCCTAAAACTGTAGGCCCAGTCTAATAAATATTGGGACTCTCGTTGATTATGGCACATGTTGCATGGGCGTGTTTTTAACACACCTATTTTTGCAGAAGCCAAATGTTCCTACTTAGTAAAAAATAAACTGCAGTTAGTTTATAGCCAATAGAGAAAGCACATGGGAATAAAACACAAGCTATGAACTATATATATGAAGCCACTGTTCTTGGTTATGGTAAATGGGACTCCACATTTATGCTTCGATTGCTTTTTTCCTGCCCAAGGCACACTGGGAGCACAGAAGGCTAGTCTAAGAGTGTTTTTTATGCATAATTCTCATGGCAGCATTCTTCTTCACTGCCACGTTTTCCCCAAACATAATATTAAGAAGGTCAATTGTGTGAATTGCTGAGAATCATGTGCATAAAAAACACTCTTTAATGCTAAACTGTGGTTTAACATTCCAGCTTGCATCGCCCTCCTGCCTTGCCTCTTTCACCGCAGCAACAAGAAAGAGATGGGAAGCTTCCGCTTCCATGTTAGATTAACCACAGTTTAGCATGTTGCCTAAACCCTAAACTGTGGTTTGTCATAACTATGGTTGCTTGAAACAAGCCTACTTCCTAAGCTGTAGTTTGAAGTTCAGACAGAAAACCATAGTTTGTTGAGACGCATTGTCACAACTCTAAGCTTTGGTTAACGTTGCATCCAAGCCAGTCCTGTGTTAGATTGCTGGTGGAAATAATTGCTTTCTCAAAGGTTATTGTGTTTCTCATAACTTGTAGGTGGAAGAAGGTATGCATCTTCTAATCACTGGACCGAATGGTTGTGGGAAGAGTTCTCTCTTCAGGATTCTAAGTGGTTTGTGGCCTGTCTATGAAGGAGTTCTTTACAAACCACCTCCTCAGCATATGTTCTACATTCCTCAGAGGTTTGTTCTTTTACTTGTATCTGTTTCTGCAAAACAATATATTTTCTATAGATTACAAGTGTTTCCTGCTTTTTGAACATATAGTGCTCAAGGCAACTCAAAGGAACAAAACAATTAAAAACAATTAACCAATATAAGATTATCAGAGGTCTACGAGTGTCAGCTCTTTGATTTCTTGGATTGGGCTGGGGGGGGGCAGGTATTGATTTTAGGAAAACGAGAGAAAGGCCATAGTCAGCAACTGTTGACAGACTTCTTAAAAGGCTACACTAGCTTCCACTAGAGTGACGCTAGGGATGCTTCTCAACCTCTAAACAGGAAAAATCAAAAGGGGGATTATTGAAATTTTCACACTGGCGTGGTAGGTGGGAGGATATAGGAAAGGAGGGGACTTACTCATCGCCGGATACAGACACAGGAAAGCACCAATTTGAAGAGTAATTAGGGTGGTCCAACAGCAGAATATTGCTCTATCTTGACAAAAGCAAGTGGGACTTTGAAAGATGTTTGGATCTTGTGCAATAGCTTGATTAAAAACTGCCCACTCCTAACATGAAAAGCACATTAGCTCTTACCTAGCTACTGAAAGCAGTGGAAGAGCTGGTATTGTTGCTTTCCGTGAGATTCAGTCATGAATAACTCTCATCTGAAGTGGGACAATAAGCTTAAACCACCAGAGGGCTTTTCTGTGTGAGTATCTTTCAAGGGAAAGGGGCTTCTGGTGGTGTGTGGGGAACTTGTGGACCTTCAGATGCTCCTAACTACAACTCCCATCAGCCCCAACAAGTGTGGCCAGTGGCCAGGAGTGATGGGAGTTGTAGTTCAGCGACATCTGGAGGGCTGAGGGCTCACCACAACTGGGCATGTGCAGGAAAACATCTATGGATTTATGTCACTATTTATGCCATCCTTCTTCCCAAAGTCGCCCAGGGCAGCCAACATCAAAAAGTCAAAACAATACATTTTAAAATGTAACAAAAACCTATTTAAAACATTTTGAACCCACCTAAAAACATTTTGGGGACATGGGTGGCGCTGTGGGTTAAACCACAGAGCCTAGGACTTGCCGATCAGAAGGTCGGCGGTTCGAATCCCCGCGATGGGGTGAGCTCTCATTGCTCGGTCCCTGCTCCTGCCAACCTAGCAGTTCAAAAGCACGTCCAAGTGCAAGTAGATAAATAGGTACCGCTCCGGCAGGAAGGTAAACGGCGTTTCCGTGCACTGCTCTGATTCGCCAGAAGTGGCTTAGTCATGCCGGCCACATGACCAGCTGTACGCTGTACGCTGGCTCCCTCGGCCAATAAAGCGAAATGAGCGCCACAACCCCAGAGTCGGTCACAACTGGACCTGATGATCCCTTTACCCTTTACCTTTAAGAACATTTTTAAAAAAGGATATCTAAAAGCTTACTGGTTTCAAGTTGTCCTGACCTGTTTCTTTTAGCCATCAAATGCATGGGTAAACAGGAATGTTTTTAAACTTCTCCCGAAAGTCAATAATGAAGGAGACATTGCAGCCATTGTCTGCTTGAATCTTACTCAGCACAGTTTGCAAATGCCACTATTTGTATTGGATTTCTCTGAATTAGTAGACTAGCCCTTTAAGGCAACATGCTGTGTTGCCTTCCTAATTAAATGTAGCCCTAGCTGAAGCTGCCCAGATGGGGATTGTCTTGATTCCATATGGTTTAATTGAGAATTTTGCTTGCCTTCATCCGTAAGAACTCTCCATTTATAAGTGAATACACAGTAGCCTTAGAAATGGTTTTTGTATCATTGTGCCTACTGATATAGCATGAGATACGGCCCAGAAATGTGACAATACAATTTACCATTATAGAATGTATAGGAGTAACCTGGGCAAGTCTCCAGGAGGGAATATTAGCTTTAGAGATTAACTGTCATTTTCTCCCCTACCGTCCCAGGCATTCTGGCCGTCTGCTAATTAGAACCAGGGCTTAGAGTTAGAGAAATCCCAGACAGGGATTATATTTCCTAAAATACTTTGCACAACGTCAAAGTTGATATTTATAATGCCCCGTGCCTGGGAGGTTTTGAATGACGGAGGATCTGGTCAAAGTTAAGGAACACATATTTACACTTGCGTCCTAAGGTGTGTGTAAATGTCACGTAATAACTTTTTTAAAACCTTTTTTAAAAAAATAATAAAAACTATGTAGATTACATCCAAAGCAAACATTTTGTACATAATTTTGCTTTCTTCATTGAACTGGTATTGCAGATTATTTTAATACTTCTTGCTATTACTTATTACATTCACCATCTTATCTAATAATAATAATAATAATAATAATAATAATTTTATACCCCACCCATCTGGCTGGGTTGCCCCAGCAACTCTGGATGGCTTTCAACACATATAAAAACATAATAAAACATCAAACATTAATAACAACAGTCTGACCCAATACAAAAAACTAACAGTAACTTTAAAATAAACAACATATCAAATAAAGCAAGATTCAGCAATCCATTAGAATCTAATAGTAAATAGTATTATTTGCTGGCATTTAAACAGCTTACACTTACAATAAAGAATTACAATCTTTACAATCGATAAAAGCAACGGCAAGTCACAATGCATAAAATGCCACAAACCACACAAAACCACGTAAAAGGATGGAATTGAGAATCAAGAACACACAGCTTAATAGAATTATTATTTTTAATTATCCCTGAACTTTTTTTTAATTATCCCTGAAATTATCCTCTTCCCAGCTGCTTCTGCTGTTCTTCAAGAAGCTCAAGCTTCAGGGTCCTTCCCCTCCCCACGTTATAGATCAAGATCAGCCGAGTGTGGGTTAAGCTGTGATAGGATCACTGGCCCAAGGAGCTTCCTGGATGGATTGCAGATTTGAACCTGTCTCCCGCCAGTCCTCATCCAATCCTCAGACCCAGGGCTAGCAATATAACATACACACACAGAGAGCTTTTTGCACCTAGCTTCCATCTTCACTGACCCTGGGCCAGTTTTATTCCAAGTTCTAGAAAGGATCACATTGGATGCCCTCACTCTAACCATTCCTCCCTACTGGGTTGTATGGTGCAGTAGAATATTTCAATTCTTTATGCACAGCCCTTTCTTCAGAGTTCCCTGACTCTGAGTTCTGTCTTCATATGCTTAGCAGGAAACATAACTATAAACTGATTCAGCTACCCACACCCCATTTCAAAAATCTACATGTCTTGCATCTGCCCACTGAATACTTTTCCCCCAGTCGCCATATCTTAGGAACATGGTACTTCTTTCCCACCTTCTTTTTGTAGGCCTTTTGTTGCAGATATTTGCATAGTTTTGTCATGTCAACCTATCCCATCTCAGTTCTGCACGTAGTTTAAAATGGGTTCACATACCGTATTGGCCCGAATATAAGCCGCACCTTTAATATTCAAGGGGGGGGGAATAAAAAAAGACAATACCCGAATATAAGCCGCTCCCTTAAAATTCCGCAGGCACCCATTCCGTTTTACTGTATATCCGTTGTCGAGAATCCAGCTCGACATCAGTAAGAAAATCAGTAAGAAATCAGTCTCACACCAAGATGACTTGAAGAAAAAGCTTTGGCTTCAGCCGTGCAATGTTTATTGTGTGCAGTAAAAAATAAATCATCCTCCCTCCTCCAGCACTGCGCTTGCTCTGCCTGGTACTCAAAAGTACCAAATCAAAGGAATGTAACCTTGCTTTTGCCCACAGACAAAGAGAGTGTTATTCTACGTGAGCCAATCATTAGTCTAGCATGAGGTGTTCACGTGCTCATCATGCTCTTAGCAATATCTCGTGCTGTAAAATCACTCTGCAATAATAAGAACTCTGCTCATGCTCTTATGTACAAGCAATCATTTTCCCACATGCCCTCTTTTCTTGTTTATATTATAAGAGGGACCATTAATCAGAATTGCAATCCCATTACCTAAGCATTTATATTTTGCAACATAAATTCCCCTTGTAACCCCTGTGGTGGGCCTTGGTCGGTACCACCATGCAGTACATTGGGAAATCAAAGAAAGCAAGCATTGATTACATAATAAAACCAACAATACATGCAATTACAATCAATAATAAATTTCTTAACCATAATCCATTAGGTAACCAAGAAAATAACCAGTCCCATGGATCAAAACCTTCAGGCGGATTCAAAGGATTATGGGTTATCATTTGTTCCATATAATCAATAATAGCGGAAATATTGGTCGATTGATCAGTTATATACATACAACAATAAGAATGAATTAAGGCATAAATTCCACCTTTAGAGGCAAGGATTACATTTAAAATTTGTAAAGCAACTTCTCTTATTTCTGACTTTTTTTGTTTGTTTGTTTGTTAATTATTTTTAAAACAAAGATGATAGAATTAAAAACAGAGCTTCGGTCCAATTTGCCACAGAATAACCATCAATCAGATTGAAGCAAATGTGCAGATTTACTGCTCTTTCTCTTCCAGTCCAACCAAACATAAAAATCTCTACACGCAGCCTGTTGGTCATAAGTCATGTAGGTTGTGACATTATTAACTGAGACTTTCGGTCTATCACTCATAGTGGTAATTAAAAAAAATAAAAAGCAAAAAAAATCCATCAAAATACTCATCCAATTACAATATAGAAAATGACCTAAAAAGTTATTGCTATTATGATTAAAACGAAAACAATAAGGCACTATTTCTGCAAGCAACAAAACACAGGCGATAAACTTATACGATTGTCCTTCATATTATTTCTAATCTTAAATGAAGCATTTACTGGAATACTAGAATACCACCACCAAAAAAAAGCTCAAAGCTTTTTAAAATCATTTTTCTCAGCAGCTAAAAGGCACTAGTCAAGCATATTCCGCTTGCTGTAACTAAAAAGATTGCAACAAGGTCGAGAACAGAGCCCATTGTCTTCGCGGGCCTTGCTAAAAAACCATATTGCAACTTTCTTTCTGTCCGGGAACCATGCCAAAGCACAAAAATGAAACAACTGGAACACACTAAAA